AAAAGCTATCTGCCTTCGTTAACCTCCAAAAGAAAAAACGAAAAACGGTCTGGTTTTCCCTTTCGAAATCAGTAACACAAAACAAGCTGCTGCTACATACACGATAACGGAATAATTTGTACTCAAATGCCACGACAGTGCCCGCAAGGCTATGAGGCTTGACTGAATGAGGCCCGATTTTGCAGAAACGTTGAGTTGAACAGCTGAGAGAATGTAGATCATTGCTTGCTTCAATGTGTGAACTGAGGACTGTGGGTCAACATATCGGGAGTTCAAATGTTGTACACAGTCTGTGCACCTGTGTCAGACCAAACGAGATGCATCTATATGCAGGTTACCGTAACCATGGTTATTTGGACAGGAACAAACGCGTAAGGCACAGTCTTTCCCTCACCTGCACACGCGACAACGTATAGGCTAGTATTTCATGTCTGGCCACGTTAGATGATAACAGCAGAACGAATCAGCCAGTCAGTCAATCAATCGGGCAATCAATCAGTTCGTCACGTCTGGCCGGTCAATCAACACGTCAAGCAGAATGTGGATGGAAGTTCGCGTTATGTGAACAAAATGTGGCGCACGAGACCGTGATGGTAGATCTAAGGACGGTGCGGCATCCTCAAAAGCGTGTCGGTGAGCCGTACTCATACACTCACGAATTGCAAAAGGTTCGCATTTTTTGAAACTGCTTCGAGCATGTTAAAGTGTGCAGTCTAATTGAATAAACCACGAAGTTAGATTAGCCTATTCCTCCCAAAGGACTGGTGTCAAGTTACATTACTGCGTTTGGTGTATCATTCCGCTTGAACAACAACAAAAAACTGACTAGCTGAATTATGCTCAAATGGTTGTGACTTATCGATCCTAGTCACAAGCGCACATTGTTAGCGGATGGACGCAGGCTTGAGCTGTGCTCAACGCCGCGCGCATACAGCGATCGATAGAGGAGACCGAGGACTAACGCGTATCTAGTAAAATGGATTGACGAATTAGTCAAATCAAGATGGGTGGCCGCAAAACAAACAAATCAGCATTTTATCGACATTGCGGAAAACCACTCTATTGTTGAAATCCACCCTGATTGCTATTATTAGCACTGATGTCTCACAGAAGGATGGAAAATCTTAGGATGGGGGAGAACTAACGACTCAGCTGGTGACCGAGGCGACCTGTTGCTTGCATCCGCGGGTAAAGTGGAAGTAATAAACCTCATCGCCATGAAAAGTTCGTCAAAAGCACACAGAGTTCTGTACAGACTTTCCGTCGCTGACTAGAAGATCAATTGAGTCCGCCTTGAGTCCTACTCACTGCGAAGGGAAGATCGAACCGAATACACAAAAAAACACCTTTGATCGATTTAGCTATGAAAAAGGTGTTTTTGCGCCCGATAGACTCCACTATATCAAGGGTCATAGGAGAGGTCACGCCAACTGCCTTCTATAGACCCTGAAATTAATTTACTGCTCCATTGTTGTACTCCGTAGACTAGTCCTTGCAGCAAGTTTCAACATACACTGGAATATCACGGGACGGACTAAGATATGTGGTCAGCTTTCGCAGTAACGCTTGTCAAAATTCTCCGGCCCTCTCCTCCATCCTTTTCTCAATTTATAGCACTCAGTCAAAACCGAATTTCAACTTTGTTTTCAGTTCGCCCTCCTCTACAAGGCCTAATAACTGCTTGATAAAAGCCTCTCGCTGGAAACTCTGAGGTTTCTAGCCGTACAAATTGTATCCGGCATCGAAATTCCGCCTTCATATTTCCAGGTTTCCATATGTCTTTCCAAGTTCAACGCAATTTTGCACGCCGGAAAAAGTTTTCCTGACTTGGCTTTGAGGATAAATAAACTGAAGTGTATGTTAGCCATTTCTGAATTAACAACAATGATTGGTAGTTGACCAATTGGTTGTTGATCGGTTCGCGTAGTTTGGCAATTAACTTGCAAACGTTTCATCACCATCCGAAGAGACGTCATCAGTGCGTGTTTGAGTGGGTTTGGGTTGGAACCCTTCATACCCCATGGTATGCACTATTTTGAATGAATGCAAATCACCGATACCGGGAATCTCCCAACCATCAGCGCGTTGAAACTGAACATCAGTTAGTGTGTCAGTAATCAATCCGAGATTGGAACAAAATCGGATCACTCCTGTTCCACGACCTCTTCACTGGAGCCAGATTGTATCATAGTGCCCCCTGGTGAGTTCATTCCATGCAGACAATCAATCTCTCAGCAGATGTTTCGAAAACCGGAGAGAGAACGGACCGTTATAATGATTCTGCACCAAATGTATTGTGCCTTGCAAGAAATCTGGCACACACGTTCTGAATATAAATCAACTGGACCAGGTACACCAAAAGTCCCGATTCAGAAGCAAATTTATCACATTACCCTAGCAGCGGGGAATATTTCACCTGGTTCCAAAACTCCACGAGTGCGCGCGCGCTCGTGCGCATGCTGACAGATTGGTTAAATCTGGCAAATCTGGAGAAAAGTCCAACACAACATGGAACTGTTTTGATGAAGAAAAAAACAACGGACTGAATATGTGGCTGGACGTGGGTGTGGGGGGCGACACAAACGAACCACAAACGGGAGAAATTCATCTTGCACATTCTGACAACAACGGCACAGTCGGATGGATGCTGAGGCGAATGCGAGAGCCGTTGTCACATTGGCGGGATATGATTAACTCTTGGGAAAGTGCATGCACACGAGTACTCGGCTGCTTGACGTACCTGAGGAAGTTAGTTGCGCGCGTGACAGTACCACTTGCGGCTACCAACAACTGTTGTGCTAGAGATCTTGTCTGTAAAACGGGATTTTTTTGTGTGTGTTGAGGTTCAAAAGCCATGAGTTGTGTGCGTGTGTGTGTGTGTGTTGAGCTTCAAAAGCCGTGAGTCATCACGTTGCTGAAGGTCAATAGATGACTGGTCACCGGTGGTGCTGTTGCGATTACGGTGCCATGGGCATTGACGAAACCGATCCGTCTTGGACATGACCCACGGTGGATAAAATGCGCTTCTTTCACGCTGTTTTCTAACGCTAGTCCTTGGATGTTTTGGTTCGTAAAATCCAGTCTGGGGAATAAAGATTCGAGGTTTCAAGTGGAACATAAGGTTGACGGGGACTCGGGGTTTGCGCCTACTTGATGAGGCCCAATTGGAAGGGCGAAACCGGTCGTGGGCCGTCAACGAATTTTCAGCAACCTTATGAGCAGTACATTACAAATATATACATGTATCGCGATATCTCGAATGTCGTAGCGACTGAAACATGAAGCGGCCTGGTGCAGCACATTCAGTTGCCTAGAAACATCACAAACGAGAGATTCAGCTGGGTTCCAGATGAGTCTCTCGCAAAACCTAATTTGTTTGCAAATGAGTGTATTTCAATAATATCATTTTTGGCACACCGGGTGGTGACGATTCAAAAGCTCAGCACGAGCCAAGTCGATGCTGATGCGTGCTCTCAGCCTGCCCGCGGAAAGGAGCGGAGTACATGTCTCGGAGCAAAACCCCCACTCTTGGGGTCGTCGACATTCTTCCCGGAACGAAGGTTTTCTTACCCTATGCGAGCTGATTCGACAACTGGCGGTATGCAAAAGCCAAAGTATTCTACTCCCAACCGAAACTCTCATCCTCACCGATCGGTGTTTTCAAGTGGGATGTGGTCAAATTCTCCAAAAAAACTTTGATGATGCGGACCGATCTGTCATAGCCTCGATAGTCTTAGTCACTGTACAGATGTCGTTGTCTACTTGGCCTGTTTTTCCCGTGTTGGGTGATTCCTCGTTTTGACCGGCGGAACTAATTTCTTCGAGAGTGGGTAAAGTTGCTCTCGAAAAAATCCATGCCGCGAAAGTGCTTTCCTCATGAACGGCATTTTAGTTGGGCGCTTACTTAGCTGTCAGTTTCGCAGCCCATTAGCAACACTATTCCAAAGTATATTTGTTAATGACAACAGCATCAACTCCTTATCGGAACCTTTGAAAGGTCAGTGATGAAAATGATTCATGTTGAGCGGGAAATGCCATGCAGATTTAGATTCGGACGGAAAAGTGTTGCCTCGGCCAATCAACGAAACAACCATACTAGAACGTTAACGCTGAAGCTCTTAAAAGGTCCCCATGAACATGTTACTTCATCTGGAAGTTTTTGACTTATTTCTGTCTGAAGTTGATCACTAGTGTTTTGATGATCCACCTTGCATCTCAATCGGTCGCATGGCTTGTACCTTACTTGAAGCAGTCTCATCGTTATAGCATACAATTATCAACTGGATCCTGGCGAATGGGATATGACTTGTCAAAGTCTACTTAAAGCCGATTCGCCGCAGCACGGTGACCAGCCCTGCCTTACTTTCGTCCCGCAGAGGCAAGCTACGGTCGGCCGACACGATGGTTCGCTAACCCCCNCCCAACCCCCCCCCCCGGTGAATCACCGATGGTCGGTTTGCTGGATCAGGTGCGTCGGATACGATTTTTTTGGAGGTATTCACACGTGCCAGAACTTATTGTGGCACATCTGGCACTTGGACTGGCGTTTTGATAATGCTGATGTGCCTGAGGCTTCAGCGGATCAACGGGTGTAGCCAGATGGCTTGGAGCACTGATCGGAAGGTCAGTGGTTCGAACCCAAACTCTGCACCTTAATTTCTCCTGTCTAGGCTTGGACAGCCTGGCAGTCTCCCAGCCCTCATGTTTCCTTCGGGTGGTATGGCAGTTAGGCCCCAAAAGGGTGCTATATCTGAACGGCGACGAGGGATCAATGGGCGTATCGACAGAAGGCGAGGTGGTCTAAGTAATCTGAACGGTGGGTTGATGCGCTGTACTGAGGTAGATCTAAACACATTGGTCGGTCGGATATCCGAGACGAACATTTCTCGAATTGGTCCTCGGTTGAAAAACGTTTGCCGAGAGAATATGCTGTTCGTTGGACACATTCAAACTGCTCGCCGAGGACAACACTTTACACACTTTGTTGTAGTGCTAACTGAGTACTACTTGGATGATTCGAAGACGTTCATCGGACTGCAGTATGCACATCGTCATTCTGCTCAATTTTTGGAGTGTGGCGAAATTCATTGGACGTTGCCGCACCCAACACTTGGGTGTTTCGGTGACAGGCAAGCGGCGATGACATCAGCCGAAGGACAGTTCCTCGTACATCAAGCTGTTGCACACATGAACTTACCTGTCTCTTTGGTGAAAATGTGGTTGACCAACATGTGCTACGAAGAAAACGGAAGACCTTACAGCAATAAGCGCGATTCGCTATTCTTCTGTGGAAGTGGCCACTCTTTATGATTCACGACAATCGCGTTATACGTGGCATATAAATATTAGTATTTCTGTGACATTTATTAACTGGTGATGGAGCCATCAACTAGATTGTCTCCGGGACCCGTTCCATATTTTAATGCTGACATAACTCGGTCTGTCAAAACAATTTCAACATTCCAAGATGGATGGATGCAAGGAATCCTTAGAGCAAGTCGATCCATGTTTAATTTGCCCGGTGTTCTACTGGAATCACGTCAGGATGTCGATAGAGAATAGAGCCGAGTTGGGGACGTTTCCAGAACCAACAGTGCTTATCCGGGGCGCAAAACCTGGCTCTGATAACATACATACAGGAACAATGGCTTTAACGCAAGGTGTGCTCATAATTTTCCTTATCATAACAGTCCAAGAGAAAGTTGAAAAACATTACTTTATGTCTAGGCCACTCGTTTGGAAGTGGGGTTTGATTCAGTAGTGTGGGGAGTTTGAAAAGAGCGTGTAAATAATTCAGAATCCGTCTGGCGTTCAGGAGCTATACTCAATCACGTTAAACTGATCAGATAGGGCTAGTACGTGTACCGTTTTCCAGAGTTCTAATTTTGAGACTGTCTTGTACGACAATTTCAATTTCGCGGTAAAAATCTGTTTCACACCCTTCCCGAGTGCCAAATGTACGCATGATTGTGGGCTGAACGACATCGTCGTATTTTATTTACGGTGGTGACGGTATGTCCGTTTAGAATTAAACATAATAGCTCTGTGGGTGAGTAGAGACCTAGAACTCACAAGACCGAAATCGTGCAAATGAAAATCGTCGACGTTAAATAAGCTAACAAACTGCTACGACACTAGTGCAACATACACAGTATATGCACTTACATGATTTCATGTGCTTTCTCCGCATGACTTCCGACCCGTCCGTCATTTATGGAGCCTTTTAATTTATAGTCTTCTAATTAGTCCCAGTACGGCTGAATAAGCACAAATATTCCGGTGAATTGATGTTGCACACACCATAGTCCACTGGCTGGCAAGCACGAAACCAAAGGCGCTCACTCAGTCGAATTATTGCACACGTTCGCACACTGTGACAGTCCGGTAGCTGCGTGGGCGGTGCTGGGAAATGCTCATTAAGGGAGCAGTAACTCGATTGATCGCACAGAATGAGTCGGCCAGTGGCGCGCACATGGCGGTTCGCTTCGTCTGACGCAGATCAGCTGACGGATGTATCCCTCCTAGCCTGCTTGCATTTGATTGGACAATACCGAACCAATCACAGCAGTGGAGCACGGACGATAACTCGTGGGTTTCATTGGGGCGTGCTAACGGCTATAGTGTGCCGTGATGGGCTTAGCCAAGGCGGACAAAGGGCGTGCACTGGCCATGTGAGCAGATGCGAGTAGGTGCGTTCGTGATGGTAAACCACGCGAAGTCAACCTTGCCCTCCGAACGGCTTTGCCAAACGTGCCATCTTCTCGGTGTTATCGATGTCCTGCCTCCCTGATACATATCTTTTGTGACTAGACTGTAGAAAAACCGCTGGTGAATGGCGAAAAATCCAGCGGACTTTAACTCCAGCGGGCAGAGATTGTTGTCAACGCTAGTTGAGTGATTGGGGCCCAGTTTCACTTCTATTGGGACTCATCATCTGCAGGTGACGGGCCATTGAGACAAAAGGCTATTTATTGTCCTTAGGCTACGAAACTGCCGTGGTACACAAGGGCCGATACTAATCTGCCTGGGTATGAGGAAGTGTATGGCCACCATGCATGTTCTGACCTTTAGGATCAGTAGAAAACTGCTGATAGTTCACTATCGGTCCCACCGTGTTTGCTGCTGATTGTGTAGCACAGAATGAGGTTGACCGACTGTCATGATGAGGCCCGAATAGACCGAAACCGGTGTTGGCGGGTATTTATTAAATTATAGGTAGCACCGCTTACGAACAATTGTTCGTCTTTAGGTGATACAGAATTGTATTGGAGCGAGAGTGAAGCAACTCATAGATGGTTACGCAGAAGAATATGTCATGCATGGGGAGTTTGTCACCAAGGATGGACACCATCCAAAAAAAGCAAGTGAAATTACCTGGTCAAAAATTACTTGCACTCTTGGAAATAGTGACCTTTCAGAGGAGATACTCCAAGAGTAGGGCGACCTCTCCGGTCTTTTTGAACAATCAACATCACACAGTGCACTAGGGTCGGATTTGTCGAACATTCAGATAACCAATATGTGGCTGGTCTTAAGAGCAGAACAACATGCAAAGTTACACGCGAGACAGTCAGTTTCGTTTAAACATCCCACGGAAACACCTTGGATCTGTCGAGGCATTCACCTTCATGTAATGGTAGCTGGTATTCAACGCCAACCACGTTGGTTTATATCCATTCCAACCTACCTGAACTCTACGGTAGGTAACGCCATCAAAGAAGGTTCGAAGTGGGCAAGATGACGCGCATCTGTTCGAAACCGCATCTCTCAAGCTCAAAGACCAGCCTCCTCACTTCGTCCCAGGATCTGTAGCGAAATGATCGGAAACACCACCTCTGGCTTAAACTAAGCACAGCTGTCTTCTCTCCCTACTGAGTGATTACGTCAAAAAAAGAACAGAACAACCAGATCATCAGGAAGTAACCTTATCTCTTCCTAGTTCTTTTAGGTGGCACTGTAGCTAGGTACCTCAGTAGGAGCAGAAAAATATACAGTCCAACAAGGAAACCCTTGGGTTATTATCACCTTGAAAAAAATAAACACCAAAAATTTAACTAAGCAGGTCAGGCTGGAGGACTTTAAAGAATTCTTGTCAGGAGTAACTGCTTCGCAAAGTGAACAAGTCAAATTTCAGGCAGATGATGCTTGTTACCACTTAATTAAAGTATTACCAGATGCGGAGAGTCGAGTAGCCTAAAAAAAACCCTCATCTGGTTTTTTGTTCCGTCCTTGATCATCAAGATTTCGCGGCGGGATTTTTAAAGCCTCTTTCCATCAAGAAGGTGCACTTCTAAGAGGGCATGATTTGGTCCTACCCCGAAGGATGAACGCCGCTCGAGGGTTGTGGGTGAACTAAGTCCAAGGTGAAAGTCTAGCCTCGGCAACTGGAAATACAGAAGGTTGTTGGCCATTCCGAGGCAGTTCAAAAGTATGAACACAACGTAAAAAAAGCGCAAACAATCGGCGAATGTTTTTGGGCATTTCCACATCGGCAGCATGATGAATGATGAAACTGTCATCCGTTTGCCTCCCACAGCCGCAAAGATTTTGTTAACGTGCAAAACAAGCGAAAAACTCTGTGTGTGTGTGTGTGTGTGTGTGTGTGTGTGTGTTGAATTTATTGCAAACATAAATCTGTGAAGAATTTGGCAATTTTCTCTTTGCGTGACAAATGAAGATACGGGCCAGAGTATGAATCTTTGTCTAAAATAGTTGTCGAACCACATTTGTGAAAATTTTTTTACGTCATGCAGAAGCGATGAGTGAGATATCCGAAAAAGAAACTAAATCTGGTTTTGACTCGCAAAAATGACCAGTAAACGGAAATCAATGCCTATCCTGGCGCTCCCAACTTAAGTTTCGTTAATTATCTTGTGAGTCGTTCATTACGAATATATACATGTATCGCGATATCTCGAATATCGTAGCGACTGAAACATGAGGCGTCCTGATACAGCTCATTCAGTGGCCTGGATACATCCCAAACGAGAGATTCAGCTGGGTTCCAGGTGAGTCTCTCGCAAAATCTAACTTGTTTGCAACTAAATGTATTTCGCTAAATTCATTCTGTTTTCTAACAAGTTTGCCGTAATTCACTCTTTACCCGAACAGTCTACCAGAACGTCTTCATCCATAAAGAACAACAGTTTTTTGATGAAATCAGGAAACTGAGCACCGGTGTTTAATACTTTGGATGTTGGGAAGAACAATACAATCTTTGTGCCTAAAATCGTGCGCCAAAGAGGCACCATCATGTTTGTTCTGAACCCTCCAAAAACAAAACAGGGTTCCTGAAAGTTTACCTTGAAACTTCAGCATAATCAGGGCTGGATCTGTGTATTTTTCCAATCGATTCCGAGTGATGTTTCAAGCGGAAACATCGATTGATGATTGGTAAGTGCAGAACAAGGCTACAATTGGCTACAGCTGCATGACTACCCATTCATTCAAGTAAAAAGGATATTGTTTTTTAGCAGGATACTTTGAGATTGACAGATCTACAAGCGGCCCAACATCTTGAGTGGGAGGGTGTGAGTAAGAGGATTCTCCATCTGGATGACATGAATGAGTACAACTTTTCAAACACCAACCAGTTTTTCATGAAATCGATTGATTGGGTGACTCTAGAAGACAGGTTTTCTTTTGCAAAAGGTCGATACATACAGTGTGTTGTGAACAACCGGCTGCATTATACGTCGATATGCCCATCAACATCCTGTCTATCCTGTGAACGAGCTTCAAATTTCTTCTTGGAAAAAATGAGAACACTCCGGAAATTTGGGCGTAGCTCACAAAGTAATTTTCCAAACTACACAACCAATTATTTTGCAGGCTCACACTCCGGAAGTGAATACCATTCATCAATTTTCGAGCGTGATGGTGAAGTCCTTGTATCGTTTCATGCTGTTGCTAAATTTCTTATTACTGGAGAGTTTTTCAAAACCACGCGCTGGTATTTGGTGTATATTTTGATAAAAACACAAATCGATAGTGATTGGCTACTTTAGCTTCAAATGGGTTGAGCTGCTACGCTACAACTAAACAAGCCTTTATAAAAATATATGGCGGAGGGTGCGAATAACAAGTGTTCCTTATAGGGGGGGGACAAGTAAGTGGGGAAATCTCGGTGTCTCCGAGGAGCAAACCATCCGGATACGTCTTATCCGCTTTGGAAAAGCTAACTTGTGAATGAGCTCTTTCGCGGAAAATCCATTTGACGCGACTACCGACTACCAAACTAAGCGCACAGGACGTCAACAGGAGCTGTCCAACCGGCAAGTTGCAGAAATAAGTACGAAAACGTCGATTTAAATTGAGAGGGAGGGGGAAGATCGGTTATTTACTCTAACGTAGTAGTTTGTGGATACATGTCCTCAGTGCTCTCAACAAGATTCTTCCAACATGTCAAAACCGACTCTGGACTGATAGTAGTGTGGGGAGATTTGGGAGTATTCAGTTGAAAGTTCATCCCGTAAGTGAAGCCACCAATCAAAGCCGGAAAGTCAAGAGGCCTCATGAAACTCCGGGGAGTTTTGAACCGGTGATATCCCAGCTAGTAGTTTGAACACCTAATCATTCGGCCATGATGGTTGATCATACTGCAGGACAGACATCAGTCACAGAAACCAGATCACATGACCACGTGTTGACTGGCTCCGCTGGTGGTGACTTTTCAGATGGTAGTTTCGCTCATCTTGTGAAATTGTCTTTTCTCTGAACCATCCATTGGTTGTTGGTAGTGCGAAGGAGATGACCCAGGTGGTTAGAGCGCGAATTTAATGACCGGAAATTCCGTGGTTCGAACGCGACCCCTGTCTCTAAACATACCCTGTCTAGGCATGGGCAGTCTGGCAGCGACATGGCAGCTAGGCACCGAAAGCCCGGACGATTTTTTGAACTGAATTATGCATACCGCTTGATGGTCTCACATGAACTGAACTGCTTCTTTCCAACAGCCCTTGGTTCACTGCTGATGTGATGCGCATAAAATGAGGAGAAGTTTAGTGCAGGGAGAACTAAGCGCGAGGATGAGAACAAGACCGCCTCAGATTTGATGACTACTGGGGAAAATGACAGCGGCTCCGGGTTGCCAGGTGTTTGGGTCATCCGAAATCTATCCTCAGAAGTTTTGATGACAGTACTTCGACGGTCTGTGTTGATAATACAGAGAAGAGCTTATTTCGTCCCCGGAGTTAGCAGGCAAGCGAGTAAAGTGCCACAGTCGCTGCACTCGTTCGCTAGATTTGTATTGTGTAATTTATGGGGGTCAAACACGTCAAGCTCTCACGAATTTCATAATTCGCCTTAGTCACCAGAGTGAGTCAAATCAGACAATGAAACAAACGGATAGAATATCGACCCGTATTTTGGGGAAGCTAACAACACCACATCCCCGTTCCGGTCTGAATTCAGATGGAGCCACCTTGGCGGATGAGATGTCCCGCAGGATTCACTGGTCTGCTCCAACTTTCCGTCCCTATTTCGTTTGCCGTTGGTCGTTCTTCCCAGGCGATTGACCCCACGTGGAGTCTAGAACATTCCCGAGCACTTGCATGCCAAATAGCCTGCCTTATTTGTTCCGCCCTATCGTCCAACCTATTGTCCCTTTGCACAACAGTTGCTTTGCAGTTGATGGGATCGCCGTAAAGGAAGGTTTGCGTTTATTCGACCCTTATTTCAAACTGTTCCCCGGTTGATCAGAAGGGTGTTAGCTGACTACGGGCAGTGGAACGGATCCCCCCAAGTTAGGGATAACCATCTTCATCAATATCATCAGTGTAGCCGGCCGCAAGTCATATATGGTTGTCATATCGCCTCCAATCTCTTTTGTGTAACCCCATTGATATCATGCGTCTGTTCTATTAGATTACTTGGGTTCTGAATGACATAAACGGAAATCGACCACGGGAATGCTCAAAATCAGTGACAGTTCTGTTGAAAAAACTTTTTGTCCAATTCAGAGGGACTGTAGGAATGTATCACACAGCGACAATGAACAAATCCACTGCACAATACGACAGATTATTACTAGCTCCATTTTTTGACCGAAATTTTGGTCATATTTATTTCCAGCACCTGATTTTGCATTCCGATCGATTTTGTGGCAACCGTAAAATGATTTCTGGTAGAAAAATATTGGTTTCTAGTAAACACAACAACAAGCGGCAAACTACCTGCCCGAAACATGAAACCCCTGGAATGAGCGGAATGCCAGGAGTTTTGTTCACATAGTTTTGTTTGGCTCGGCGAAATAAGGATTAGTTTATCATTGGTTACTCTATACTGCGTGAGGCGATTTCCTTCCGAACAAGAATAATATCAGCATTGCCATAACTACTCATAAGTAGCAAATGGATCATCAACATCATTTTTTATCAGTGCTTTACAAATCCACTCCAGAAGGAGAGTAAATCTTGATTGTGATAGGATAGTTTTTCTACTTTATAAGGAAATGTCGGACAATGCGAAATCTTTGACAGTTTGTTGGATAATTCCGGGAACTGAAACGTCCTCATCGGGCGACGGGAAGCATGACACGTTGGGCTTTCAAACGACTTCTCTTCGTTTTACTTCATTACTAAATACCAAAGGCAAGTTGGGACAAGTGTTTTCCGGACAAACAAATGAGCATGAGCGTCCCCAATAGAACTCTGCGAAGGTCACGTGATGGCTACGATCACTGTACTACTGTATACGGTTTTCAATTTTCAACCATAGAGTTGAAACCATTCTACCTACACTATTTTGTCTAGTTCTAAATCCTGAGCAAAATGAGAAAGAAACTTTTCTCCCAAATACACTCATCTGTACACGAATTCAGTTTTGACCGGCGATTTAACTGAATCGAACGAATCAGAATACTTGTCGAAATCTGTCCAATTTGGGTTCAAGCTGGAACATAGATCTCGTGAATAATTGGGGACTCCGCCTACCTGATGAGTTCCAAGAAGAGCTAAACCGATCGTGTTCTCTCGAAGAGTTTTCAGTAGTAGTGTGTTAGACAAAAACCCTTTTTCTGTTTATGATCAGTCGGTGTCATTGTTATCGACAGATGCATATCCTGGGACAAGGTTGAAGACGAGGGCACGAATACCAGAACGGGAAAACTCCTCACAGGATGAACAGAATGAAGTTGCTCAAACTGCATCGAACACACCTGGACGGACCACCGTCACCACGCGTATTGGGGACACCAGAGAGCATCACTTAGAAGGGGTGAATACAACCGAAGCGAAATTGTGAACACAGTGACAGTGAACAAGCAATCTACCGAACTCGCTCCATTTTCGACAAGACCCGAATATTTGACATTAGGTGTATCAGATTTCCTTCAGGTGTCACTAGCATGTTTGTCATCATACAGATCATTCTGCGAACGACGTAGAGAGCACGTAATCAGGAAACTGTTATCACTTTTTTTTAGCTGTTTCGTCTGATCACTTTGGCTTCATAAATGCGCTTGGACCTCATGCATATGTATATGTAACCCTGGGATGAGCGTACCGAGGACACTTGACTCTTGTTATACACACACACACACACCACGATATGCAACGTGTCATTCTGGTAATGCTTTACATCACTATTCGTGTAAGTTAGCAGTTCTTCTATTCCCAAATCATCTTGCAAGGCCAGACACACGTTCAGGCCACACGTCCGTCATCAAACGCGTGTCATAGAACTAAGTGGTTGTGGAACGAAAAAAAACCCAGCAAAGTCATAAAGATTCAAACAATCCGTATTTCAGTATTTCAGTAGCTGGTGTTTGCAAGAATGAGTTTCCTCCCAAGGGTAATATTCTCTCCCTCTCCCTTGGTTGAGAACCGCTGATTCATAAACCAAAGCTGATTGGATCCATTTGCATATTGCACAGCCAACCACAGCATTTGGGACAGATTCAGTCATGGCAAACACTCTGATACAAGGCATGCTTGTTCGAGTCCAGTCCAGTGCGTCCAGAATGTGTTGTGATTACAACCAGTTGCCTCATGGCTCCGATACAGAACAATATCGTTCCTCTAGAGGAATCTGATTTTACCAGGTTGAGGGAAAAGTAACAAGGTGGCTTTCTTTTTGACAATTATTGCTATTGTGTACATGCTCTTGTGTTACGAAAGCATGGTGGCCTACACAAGTAAACCTGAGACGGAAGCACCCAAATTGAAGAGATACGTTCAGCAGCAAGGGGCTTCTCCTTCGAGGTCCAAGAGAACAATCGCAGATGGCGCAGTCCCTCCCTCCCGAGACCACATTTGCAGTACTACACCATCAACCAAGATTTACTAGCCAAATGACTGACGCTGCTCATAAACTATCTTATGACTGCACGGACTTTTGTTCGATCAAGCTAACAATCAATCCCCAAATACACAGACATCACTTTTCGTGAGAAAATGCTACAGACTCAATATGAATAAAATAGGACGAAGTAAGTGTTATATCTGCTGATTCGTCAATCTGTGGTATCTACTGCTGACCCGCTGCAGTGCCTAATGCCGGAGAAAAGAGACTCACAGAAGGGAACACAATCGCTATATTCCAAACAAGCGAGTGCGAGAGCAGAAGGTACAACGGCTCCTGGCTATTTAAAGGGGATTTTCTGACATTGATCCAGGCTGTTTGATAGGCGTTAATTAACATCCATCAACATCGATCGTGCCTCTATGAAATGCCTGAACGCTGATCACATTCGGTCGTGCTTTTGTGGCGCGCAAAGTAGGTTCCGGTGTTCTGAAGTTGCTTTCAGGAATCTGACCTTCCTGATAGTAAGATACGACAGCTCGTTACTTCTTAGGTCCTCAGCCATTGTACTTGTGTTCGTCAGCTTTACAGTCTTTGAAAATGAGGACTATAAAAGGCAGAGATTTCTCTCAATTTGATCGAAATGGCATTCTTAGTAGGAATTTGTATCATGTGAATAGGCTGCTCTTATGCAAAACTTCCGTAATATTCATTCTTAAACTGTTGCTTGACAGGGTGCCTCAGAAACTTCTCGTGCGAAGCCTTTTTGACGGAAGACTGGAAATGACTTTCGTGCGGATTTCGGACCTCACCAGGGTTTTGAGTGATCTTCTGTGGGGATCGAAAATTTCAACCAAAGCTTGATTAAAAATGAAACACAT